ATCTCTTTATTGCAGCCAAGCTGATGCAATTCATTTTTGCCGGGAACCTTCTTGGCTTGCCTGCCATTTCTGTTCCTGTAAGTGGTGTCACAACTCATGACGAGTATTAATTGTATCTTCTACTCCCTCTGTAGATTAATATAAGACGTTTGAGGTCACTACTTTATAGTGACCTAAAATGTCTTATATAAGTTTACAGAGGGAGTAGTTAGCAATAATTATAGGAAACATTCAGGATTTTGTTACAATATAGCTCAAAAACATGCAGGGAAAATATTAATTGTTAATATGTGCTGCTACTCCTGTCCTGTACCCAGGTTGGTCATGACAAGCAAGGCCTTCCTATCGGCTTGCAACTGATAGGCCGTCCGTGGGGCGAAGCTAGCTTATTGAGGGTGGCTTCGGCAGTAGAGGTACTGTTTGCATTCATCATAAAGGTTCTGTATTTGCGGTTTGCCATCTGAGAATGTGCTCATATTTAATAAGAGTCCATGTGCTTTTTAAGGCTGCATTCTGTATGAACCCGAGCGTATCTCTGAATAAATTCGCCAATTTCGATCCGTTAGCATTGGGCACCGGGGAGACTTTATTTACGCCACCATATTGTTTACGGGCATTTATTTATATCGTGGCGTAAGTACACTTAAGCTGCAGATTACTTTTGAGTATTTTTAAACAGGAAAATATGCTAAGGCAAATAAAAATGTTAGGCAAGAAATTGTAATTTATGAAATATCGTAAATTTGGCGCAAATTTGGCATGTCTACAGAATCTGAAAAGCACTATTCAGTGGCATCACCACCATTATGAGTGCGAGCATTATTTTCATCAAGTCTTTTGTGCCGTGTTTGTCAACTTCTGGACCCTCATCATGAACTGAAAACGTGACCTCATTTCCCCTGCTTTCAGGAGCTCTGCCTGAAGAGAAGAAATCGGCCATCCACATTTTACGACATCCTGAAGACCTGAAACATCGTCAGTATATCAATAGTATGTGAGAGGTTTGTCATTTGTCAGGACTTAGGATAGACACAGCAGACCCTTCTCCAGTTTATAAAAGACTGAGAAAATAATTTTACTAGAGATATTGTAGCAGCAATAAGCAAGTGAGGTACAGTAGTATATATATATATAAAATCGTTTGGACGTTTGGGATATCTCTGCCGGTTTTTTCTTCTTGTTGTGATTCATGTGTTTGTAATGTTCTTGATCTGGCCTATCTCTGCCTGCCGAGAAAGCGGAGACAGAGATGTAACCGAGATATCCATTACTGACAAATGTGAGTGAATCATGAATTCGTATCTCATCATAATAAGAGGAAAACTTGATGATAGGTTCAAAATGAAGTGGAGTATGTGACGCAAAACAAAATCTGTACCGCTCATTTCGTGTTTAAAAGCACTTCCCTATCGTTTTGTGGTTCCGTATGCCGCTGCGAAGAAACTAGAAGAGATGAATTCATGAAACATCCGTTTCGAAAATAGATAAATTCGTGAAACATCAGGTCCATGTTCTTCATGTGAAGCAGTGCTACAGTAGCACAATGGCTTTGGTATCTATGCGGTGGACATGGGCGGAACCTGATAGGGCTAACTAAAGGGAACCTACCTTCGTGATCCATACGGTACTATTTGTTGAAATATATTGCCTATCTCTTTTCATCAGTTCTGTTAGAGTTGTGTTGAATATAGTGTACAAGATAGGTTACAGTTGGACTTGTAGTTGTATTGTGTTTACATAGGATATGTAGTCGTGTCGAAGTAGGACACTTGTATCGTAGGCCTCTCATATATAGAAGGGGTAGACACATGATGTAATCTATGTCAACATAATAGCACCGGAACGCAGGGGAAGCCGGCGGCATGTGCCGGTGTCCAGGACGACCGGGTGCGGTATTGTAGCGGTGTCATGGGGAGGAGCGTCCATAATCAGGCCCCGGGGATGTAGCCATATCGGTGAACCTCGTTAACAAATCTCGGTGTCGTGCTCGTGTGATTGCTTGGTCCTCGGATGATCGACGGAGTGCCTCGATTTTATTCTAACAAGTGGTATCATGAGCTAGTTGTTCGGAGGTCGTGGAAGGTTGATCTAGAGGAAGTATCAAGTTTGAGATGCAGCTGGCTGCAGTGGCCGGTGTGTTTCTCGATGAGATTGGATCAGCGGAAGGTTACGCGCGTTGCACGTGTGGCAATCGGATTGATCGGGGGAGCGTAAAGGAGCGCGTGCATGAAGCAGTGGGACGGCGCGCCGCACGGGCTGGCAGACAGCAGGTCGGTTCGTTCAATCGATGGGAGCTGCGGAAGCCCCGTGCGTGGGCAGCTGCCCAAGGTGCGCACGGCTGCAGGCGGGCGAACGGAAGCCAACGTGGCTTGTGGGCATGTGCCTAGGACGTGCCAAGCTAGTCCAGGTGGTTAGTTGTGTGCGTGCTTGATGGGCTAGGCCTTTGTGTAGCTGCGAGGTCAGGCATGATGCTGCGCGGGACGTGATTGCCTAGGCTTAGTGCTGATATGATGTGCAACACACGAGAGGTGAGATTTGTTTGTGACAAAAAAAAGGACAATCTGCTCATGGTATTGGCGTGGCATGGACATCAATGGGACAAAGGAAAATAGCATTGGGACTAGTGGAGGCACGCACATGGTGCAACCACGGGAGCTACCATGAAAGCAATTTTATTTTGAGCCATTGCTAATTGCACGCGGGTTGTACCAGTTGGCAGGTTGACGACGTGCGTATTAGGCTCGGAAGTGTCTGGAACACGTCGTGGCAGAATCATGCATACACAGGGCGTCTAAGCATGCATTGTGCAAGCAGTGATGGTGCAGGGTGGAGCATGGTTACAGTCGAGGAAAGTTCGACTGGGTCGGACTGGACAGTCTGACGGACCGACGTGAGTCGGTTGGAACAGAAGACAGTGGTGGGATTGGCGACAGCGACATAGAAGCGTGATGCTGATGGTGACCGACTTCTGGGGCGTGGAAACACGTGGCACATGCGTGAGTGCTTGTGTGGCTTCGACAAGGCTATGGCGCGGGGTTGATTCAAGATGGCGTACGCATGAGAGCTTGAAGTCGACGAGGCGCGGGATGGCACGTACAACCACCATGGAGTCATGTTAAAGGTGGAGCTGGATTGAGGGGCTACGGCGTAAGTGCACAGAGAGTCGAAGCCTATTCAGCGGCGGGAAAAAGCGAGTGACATGCAATTCGGACTGGAGCCCAGTGGTCTGATGGAAGCGTGAAACTCGTCATCGGCCGGTGATGACCGGTGGTACTCTGCAGTAGGGGTTGAGTGGTGTGGGTTCGCGACCCTTGAGACTCGACCGGGACAGCGGAGGCTCGACGCGGTAATATCGGCGAGGCGTGCAGTACGCACGGGACATGGAGACGGGCCAGGGCTCTGGTGGTCATACATGTGGTGAGACAACTGCGAATTTGACTCGGGATGACGACAAGCAACGGTGAAATTCTTTCAAGTTTCAGACAGTTGGTCAAGAAAGGAGCGGTGATGTTGAGTTCAGGTAACTCTTATGTGTGACACCCAATATGTGAGTTGTTCACTTTCACGCAGGTCAGTGATCAGTGTGTGATGGCGTTGGACGGGTACTCTGGAAGTTGGGGAGCACAAGCTAGAGTAACAAGGAACTTAATTTTGCTCAAGTGTTGACCCTGATCAAGAAAAGAAGGGACTACAAGTTGCAGGTGGAGTCATATGGAGTCTTTGGAGTAGCAGCGGTGCTCACGGGACAAGCTCAAGTCCAATGTACATGGAAGTTTAACGCATTGACGAATTCAAGGTGGTGGAGAATATTCTCCAAGGTGGAGTTTGTTAGAGTTGTGTCGAATATAGCGTACAAGATAGGTTACAGTTGGACTTGTAGTTGTATTGTGTTTACATAGGATATGTAGTCGTGTCGAAGTAGGACACTTGTATCCTAGGCCTCTCATATATAGAGGGGGTAGACACACGATGTAATCTATGCCAACATAATAGCACCGGAACGCAGGGGAAGCCGGCGGCATGTGCCGGTGTCCAGGGCGACCGGGTGCGGTATTGTAGCGGTGTCATGGGGAGGAGCGCCCATAATCAGGCCCCGGGGATGTAGCCATATCGGTTAACCTCGTTAACAAATCTCGGTGTCGTGCTCGTGTGATTGCTTGGTCCTCGGATGATCGACGGAGTGCCTCGGTTTTATTCTAACAAGTTCATACTTTAGACTTTTGAATGAACTAGCCGGAGCATCAGTCTAATATTATTAAATCTGTTGGTAAAAAAGAACTGTTTTTTTTTTTTGGTTTCTTCATCATAGAAGAGAACGAGCAAGACAAAAAATAGGGGTTGGCTTCTTGTCTTTCTGACCGAGAACGTATGAGCATTGACCATACGCAGAAAGAAAGAAAATTCAAAAAGCAAGAACAAGGAAGTTAGTCTGTGGTGCATAGCCCTGAACCCTGAACTTTATCTAGTTCACCAGGAGTTCACATTTGCATAGAGGCCTTTCAATTCAGCATCAAATTTAAGTGTGTGTGCGACTTAAGAACGTTCACCAGATACTACTTACAACATAGCCGGTGCCCCGATATTTGGTGACTTCGGTTGGATGGCCAGTGCACCGTTAGCTTTTGGGCCGCGGACACGTCTGATGCTATCTGTTTTGGTGATCCGCATTAGAGTTGCCCTAACGTAGAATACGGGGGAAAACAATTAATTTGGCTCATGTCAGAGATCTTGGGCGGTCCTGAGGCAAAATTTATCGTCCTGTCGCCGAGCCCACTGAAATGAATCGCTGGCACATTTACGTGTGCACAGTCCTACTACTTCAGTACCCCGGCTGGAAAGTGGCAGCAACAACGCCCATTATTTTCTCTCCACCCTCCCCTCCTTCTCGTTCTCGGTCATCGTCGTCGTGACCAACCCTCCACGGCCACCTCCCGCCGCGGCCGCGTGCTTGCAGCTTGGCATTCACTCGCCTCAGCCCCGGAGAGAGGGAAACGGAGGAGATGGGTGGGAAGGTGAAGGCGATGGCGCCGGTGGAGGAGGTGGACGTCGCCGCCGCGCGGTACGAGCCGCTGGTGCTGCGGGCGCCGCGCCTCACGGGCTTCTCACTCCGGGCCTTCGTCTGGCTCCTCGAGTCCCCGCTCCTCGGGCCACTCGTCACCTCCGTCCTCAAGAAGCAGAACAATATGACGCAGGTCCTCTCCTCCCTTGTCAGCTTCTATTTTGTTTGAGATTATTTATTTTGTCCAGCAAACCCGTTAGTGGCTTGCTTCCGGTGAACTCAGCACGATTCTTGTCTTGCCGGGGGACTGAGCAGATGCTGCAGCACACGGTGATCCCCGACCGGCCCATGTTCTTCCCGGAGTTCCCGCCGCAGGGTACGACAGTGTGTGTCCCTTCGATTCGAAATTGTCACTTGAATTTTGTATGGCTGAGATAGATGTTCTACTTCTTTCATTCAGTCAGGTTCTACTGAAACTTTTTTTCGCAAAAAAAGAAAAGAAGAAGTTCTGCTTAAACTGAAAAAAAAGGCACAGAGACATGAATGTTTGCTGCAGAAGTACAACCCCACATGAATAATTTGCTTAGTTTCATCTGAAAAATAATTTGCTCAATTCAGTTACACCACCCTGTTTTTACATATTTTTTGACTGGAGACAGTAAGAAAATTTCCTACTGCAGATTTTCTAATCATGTGAAAGTTATATGCACGGTTGAACAAAATGGAAAAAGAAGGTGTATTATTGTTAACTGCTGCTGCTGCTCCTAATTTGCCAGAGCCCGAGAAAGGGGTTGTGATCCTGGGGGAGGACAGGGAGCCTGTGGAGAGAGTGGAGGAAGCACTGCAGTGCCTCACTCCATACGACCCGTCCGGGCGTTTCACATCATCGTCCGATGAGAAAAATCCCTTTCTCTACTGGAAGATCCGTGACTTTGCACATGCGTACCGGTCCGGGATCACGACACCGTCAGCTGTGAGTAGCTCACTGGAATGTATTATATTTGTACAAACATTGCTTGCTCTGCTTGCATTTGTGGTGTTAACCAGGGACCTTTGGCTAGGTTGTGGAGCATGTCATTGCGGGCGTGGAAGAGTGGAACAATAAGAAGCCTCCGATGCCAATGCTGATCTATTTTGACGCTGATGACCTCAGGAAGCAAGCTGATGCTTCCACAAAGAGATTTGCGCAAGGTTTACGCCGAACCTATCTTTGCTGCTTTATTCAATCATTGTTGAAATGAACAGACAATTTGCGCAAGGTTTACGCGGAACCTATCTTTGCTGCTTTATTCAATCATTGTTGAAATGAACAGACATCAGGTGGAAACTCTGTTTACCTCTACCCTATTTTCTTGATATGTGTTGCTTCTTGTGCCCAGGAAGCCCGATTTCCGTTTTGGATGGGATCTTTTTCGCCATTAAGGATGACATTGACTGCTTCCCATATCCATCAAAGAGTTAGCTCACTTGACTGAAGTGGCCATTTTTTTTGCTGTGTCCGAGAAGCACATTCTATATTATGTTCCTCTTTTTGAATTCAGGTGCTACCACATTTTTCGACAAAATCCGCCCTGTGGAGAAAGACGCAGTCTTAGTTGCTCGCTTACGGAAATGTGGAGTGATTTTTATTGGGAAAGCAAATATGCACGAGTTAGGCATTGGGGTCACTGGAAACAATCCAAACTATGGGTACGGTTAATAATTCAGCGGCTGCTAGTTCTGTTCGAAATGCTCACTTACATGGAGTCTATGGACACATGAATTTTATTGGAGCTGTTAAAACTTAAGTCATGGTTTTCACCTATGTTGACCTGGTGGAATTCGAGTGTTACCAGATTAAATATCTTTTGTCCCTGTTTTTTGAAATGCTGCAAACATGAATATCCAAAAACGTCTAGGTGATTCTTTCGCTTTGCCTAAAGTTTTGTAAAGGAAAAGGGTAACTACAATATTTGTTAGCTATTTCATAGAAGCAAACTCAGCTGTGTAATTGTAAAGCTTGACAAGGAATCAGAACTCTCGGATGCCTACAAACATTATGCTCTAGCAGTATCATCAGAAACCATCACATTATGAAAAAGAAATGGAAAACAGAACTGGAATTTGCAGTCATCCAATATTGTTCATCGAGTCTACTTATGTTCTGATAGTTGCTACTTTATATTCGTAATCTCATAATTATTTATTGCAGGACAGTAAGAAATCCACATTCAATCGATAGATATACTGGTGCTTCTTCATCTGGTCCAGCTGCACTTGTCTCATCAGGGTTATGCTCAGCAGCGATTGGAACAGACGCCGGAGGTTTCGTACATATAGAGCTGTGACATTCATTGACACTGCATTCTTTTCGGCACTAGTCTCTAATTGGGACCTTTTCTTTCTTACAGGCTCAGTTCGAATACCATCCTCCCTATGTGGCATTGTTGGTTTGAAGACAACATTCGGGCGCACAGATATGACTGGGTAACTAAGAGAAGTTCCTATTTGATATGTACTACTAGCACTTGCTTTGCTACTCTGATCCATATTAAGCTTCATGCACTAGGCAACACAACTGAAGGTCTGAACTAATGAGAAGGGCTAGAAAATCCACATATACACTTCAACAGACCACTCATGCTTGCATGAATTATATGTTACAGTACCGTGAAAAATATCCATGATGGATAAAAGGCTATTGTTTTAGTTTGATCAAACCAGATATTTTTCATATATTAAAACAAAAGTTCAGAAAATATCTTGAGCTTGTCAACCCGGTCGCTAAATATTTCATGTCATCAGATGTAAATCAAAATGCGAACTTGTTTAATTTCATATAATGAACCCAAGTGCTAATTTCTATTTAAATGTTATTATCAAATAGTTATTTATTGACTCTACGGGGTGTTTCACAAAATCTATTTTCCTTATTTATTATTTTGAATTTCATATAAAATACATTGATTTTTTTATTCGGTTGTTTCCTATGTATTGTTACATTTGTCTTTTAGATTTTGACATGATATTCGATGCATACCTTTGGCAGTTACTTTTAATAAAAATGTGTTTGTATATAAAATTATAAAGTATTAGTATAATTTGAATAAAGTGATATTAATTTTACAGGACCAATGCAAATATTTTTTAGATATACTACTAAGGGCCAAAGATGTGTGTTGCCCTGCACATTTGCGTGGCTATTTTTTACATGAGTGTTACATGTTTCTTCAAATTAGGATAATATGAATGGAATACGTTTTGATCATTGGATTTATTTGATTTGCCATTAGGATTAATAATAGATATTTGTGTTTTATTTGATCTTGTTTCAGCCTGCTTAGTCATCTTTTATAGATTTATTTTAGTTTAATTTTTGCAATGTCATTTGCACTATGCTCCCAGACACTCAAATGCTCAGCATGTTTAATTTCTCAACCCATATGGTGTTGCACGTGCCCATTAGCCAGCTCAAACCGTATTGCTTGGGCCCAAACTGCATTTGAGTGCCCAAAGCCATACCAACGTCATTTTTTTTCTCCTCCTGCATTTGAGTGCCCAAAGCCAGCCCAAACTGCTAGCTATGATTGGTTTGAGAGGCTCGTATCGGATACAAATATGAATGTTTTTTCTGATTGGTTTGGTGTGCTCGTATCGGATACTAATACATACATGTTATGTGTGGTAGCATCTTGTACGTGTCGGGTGCCAAAATTCATATATGATGTTGTCTGTAACTTTACACCTTTTAGTATCAACCATTCTAATCTAAATCTACAGAGCATATATTTTAGCCTATGTGGACGAATGTGTCGGCATTTACCTTTTTTTAGTATATGAATAATAGATAGATTGTGAGTAGGCATAATTATATATCTTATTTGCAGGATGCTTTGCAATGCTGGGACTGCTGCAGTTGCCTCACCTCTTACAGCGTCGGTGGAGGATTCTATGCTAGTGTAAGTAGTTTGGCTTGCTAAATGAGATCGTGAGGTTGCATAAACCTGTTTAGCCATCTTGTTGGCAACATCAAAGTTTGTCAACTCTCTTATTTACGTTAATGATATGAGATATAAATTTAACTACCTCATGGGTAGTGGGTACAACTGAATACTTGTCATTTATGAATACTCAACAGTGAACACTCTCTGTTTGTGCTTCATCTATTTACTACTTACAGTGTTACACCTGGTCGTATGGCATTTCAGGTATTCTGCACTTGCAGGCTGTAGACCTATGGATAAGCTTACTCTGAGACCTGTAAGATATTTCCTGTTTTAACACTTCCCATCTGTGAAGTACGAGAAACATTGAAATGCATGTTGAACAAACTCTAAAATGTCTTTCATGTCACTTCTACGTCATTGCACTATACTAGTCAGTTTTTTTTTAAATGTGAAGCAGTACAAATGTCAGCATTAATGAATTGTGCGAAACAAGAATGCGATTATTTTTTCTGAAATGGAATGTAAAATTTGAAGCTCCACAGTACGGTAATCATAATATAGCAACATTCATATGTTAACCTTCTCCATTATTACCCAGGATGGATCATAACTTATGATCTAAATCTAACCTTATTGCATCCTATCAGGCTCACAACTTCTACATCTCTTTCCTTTTTTTGCTGTACAGTTGCCGCTGTGTGTTCCTAACTTGGTGTCCTCTGAGAACAACGATATCCTGCAATCAGTGAAAGTGGGAAAATATACAGAGGTACGATTTTTAACATGAAATATTATCTTTGTACATATGTAATTTTTCTTATATAAACTTGGCCTTTTCAGTGGTTTCATGATGTTTCTGATATTGAGATCTCAAATACATGTGAGGATGCACTTAGCCTCCTGCGCAACACCTTCGGATGTCAGGTATGGCCATTTCTACCGCAACACATCTTATATTATTGTATTACTCTTATGACTATTTATACCAACTGTTTAGAGCATCTCCAACAGCCACGCCAAAAGACGCGCGCGGGGTAAAATGTCCATTTAGCGCGCGCGGGAAGTTTTCGCGCGCTCCAGACGCGGGAAACAAGCGCGCACGGTAAACATTTGCGCGCGCGGGGGATAAAGCTGTCGGTCACGCGGTAGATTTGGCGCACCGCTTCCGGCGCGCCTATAAATTGCGGCGCTCATCACGCGGTGCTCCACACTGACACACGCGCATTTCTTCCGCCTCCTCGCTGCTTCCACTGCTTTCTCGCCGCTTCCTCTGCTTCCTCACCGCTTCAGTGCCCCGCCACCACCATGCTGCCGCGCCGCCGGGGATCATCGGGCTACCGCGGCGTCCACCTGCGTCCCTCCGGCGCCTACTACGCAGAGATCCGGTCCGGCGACTTCCGCCTCGGCCTCGGCACATGGGAGACCGTGCACGAGGCCGCCCGCGCGTACGACGCGGCGGCATGGCGCCTAGGGAGGCCTCGCGCGCAGATGAATTTCCACGACGTCTACACACGCGAGCAGGCGCAAACCGTCGCCCCTCCGCCTCGTCTAATAATAGACCAGTACCGTGAGGACCACCGTTGGCTGCAGCGCCGCCTCCTCATCGCCGAGGAGGACGAGTGAGCCATAGCGGAGTGGCGCCGGCGCCACCCGGAGGATGTCGCCGCCGAGAACGCCTTCTGGGCGGAGAGTACGGCAAGGCGCCGCGCGGAGCGTGCGGACAAGCGTCGGCGCAAGGCACTGGCCATATTGCAGTGCGATCTCATGAACGCCGGTTGGAAGTCGTTCTTCGGGACAGGTGATAAACGTTGGGATGACATTTGGCTCGATACCCCGGACAATACCACCGAAGATGATGATGATGATGACGAGGACGACTCGGAGTAGGTTCTAGTTGTACCGTAGTTTACCTAGTTGCACCGTAGTTTTTTTTATCTAGTTGCACCGTAGTTCTTTATCTATCTATGCGATGTATCGTTTTATAATGCATATGCACCGTAGCCCAGAGTGTTTGTGCGAGAGCGCGCGTGCTGCATTTTTGTGCACTGCTGGAGCTACGCGCGCGCTGCATTTTACCGCGGCTGATGGAGCCAGCGCTACCCGCCGCGCCAAACCAGGCGATGGGCGCGCTGCAAACTGGTTTTACCGCGCCGCGCCTTGGACGGCTGTTGGAGATGCTCTTAGGTGTTGTACCTTTGAATTTACAATCTCTTCTTTAGATGAAGACATTTTCTCATTAATAAGATTTTCATGTGTAAGGTGAATGCTTCTCTTGCTCACCAATAACTACTACCATAGTTCTGTTGATGGTTGTGTCAAAACAATTGTGAAGTGTTAATTAGAAAAATGTCCATCTTACTATTGTTAGCAATTCCTATAAGTTTTAACTGATTTGTACTCCCCCGTTCGAAAAAAGTTGTCTCTCCGTATAGTTAAGCTTAATTTTTCGGACATCCATTTGAGTGACAAGTTTGGGACAAGCTTTTTCGGACGGAGGGAGTATCATTTAGAACTTTTAGGCATCCAACAAGCAGTAATAGTTAAGCTTAATTTTTCCCACCTGCTAAATGATTATGACGAGATGCCTTTTCTGATGATGTGGGATCTACTATATATATGCATATTTTGTTGTTTTTTGACATCTCAGCTGACTAGTATTGTTTAACATTTTTCAAGATAGAAGAGATAATATTACCAGAGCTTTTGGAGATGCGTACTGCCCATCTTGTCACTATTGGCTCAGAAGGATTCTGCCAGCTGAATGCTCATTACCAAGAAGGGTACCTATCTATATCTATCATCACAAATATCGGATTCTCCACACTGCTATTAGCATGAGTTATCAATTTTCTTTCTTTCATAGAACTTGAAATTTTTGGTCCCTGAGAGACTGGAAATATTATTTTTATCTAGTCTTTACTATTCTGTACTATCAATCTCACTATACTATCTTCCAGGAGGCGAACTGAAATGACGTTAGATACTCGAGGAAGTTTGGCACTTTTTGGGTCATTCACTTCAGCAGATTATGTTGCTTCTCAACGTCTGAGGTGAATATGAGTATAAATGTGGCTGATCATTTATCCATTACAGGACTTGTTCATGAGTATGAAGGAGGTTTTTTCGTCATGCAGTCTTATTCAGAGCTTGGAAGTTCTTTTAGAACCATGTTGACTGTGATTGTCGATAAGAAAGATAAAATAAAACCTATTTAGATTGTAAGAATTTTTCCAGGTAACACAGAAAGATGACCAATTAAGCTAATAAGAAACAAATGTATCGAATGATCCCACAGGTTTTCACAAGCCCTTATCCAGTGCATTTTAGTTGGATTTAATTTGACAATACCTATTATTTCTAGTAATAACCCTAGTTATTGCTAAATTACAAATTCAGTTACAGTTCCATCTAACTGAATTATTCTAATATGACATATCCTATATATGTCTTATTTTAGTTAGTTCTTTCTTTATCATTTTACTTTGAAAACAAATTGGAGATTATAGACAAGTACAAAAAGGACATGCATTACAGAGCATACGTAACGCTAGGTGATGGGGCATACTTATTGACTTATTGTGTATTAATTGTGTGGACATTTTTTTACTAAGAAACAATACATCAGTAGCTGCTAGAAGATGTGTAGCTTCAATTTTATCCTTATCTGCTACCAGAAAGTGCTGCTAACTCAAATTTCTTATTATTTTATTTAAAAGCTACCATGTCTTGACTAGACCCCATAAATGATTTTTAGAGAAGTCCATTTGGGCATCCTAGTTTGTGACATATACCGAGTTACTAAAATTTCCTATATCTGCTGCCTGTTGCACAAATCGTGGGCCTTGAGGTGTTGTTATAAATCACATGACATGTACTTGTTGTATGACAAATTAATTAAGTCTGGGATATGAACTGGCGACTATCAAGTATATATTTCTTTTCCCCACGGCATACGTTCTGCCAGTTGTGTGCTTACAGTATCCATGGCTTATATAGGAGAAGGATGATGTACTATCACATGGAAGCTTTCAAGAAGGTTGACGTCATAGCAACCCCTACAACCGGGTAAAAGATTTTGAAGTTTATTACAATCGGTCCATAGACATTTTATATCATCTTAGTCATTTATGCTAATAGTGTATATGCATGCTTCCTCCTTGGTACTTGTTTTCATCTAGTCAAAGAGGCTAGTGCCCGAGGAAAATTCTGCTTCTAGCTTTGAGTAGATGGTTAGTGGTTCTAAGCGACCTGGTTTTCTATTTCTTGGGATCGAGAGAGAGGCGCCTGGTCGTTGGTCTATGGCATCGGCAGTTTTGGGCAGACAACCCCGTGGGTCTACTTGTCTAGGGCGCCAGCCACTGGACTGAATGGTCCCAGGCCACATGGTCCAGTAAGATGGGCCTTCCATACAACACCCCCCCCTCAAGAGGGGTGATAGATATCTATCATTCATCTTGTCACGCACGAAACCGCATTCTTGGATTCCCAATCCTTTAGTCAAGCAATCTGCAATTTGTTGCCATGAACTCACACGCTCTATTGTAATAATCCCAACATCCAGCTTTTTTATTTATTAAAAATCTTTCTAGCTCCACATTTTTGGTTCTATCTTGTAGAACTGTGTTGTTTGCTTTATTAATTGTTGATCATGTCTTGTTCTTACATAGGGCCTCCGGCTCTTCCACCATGGTCACCCGCCAATTTGAGTCCTCCTTTGCCTTCTTCCATTCAGTAATAATTGACACAAAATGAAGAGAAGCAACAAATGATTTGTGGGATGGAGATAAGGCTTCATAGGAGAAATAATTTCCAATCTCATTATCATCAAACCCATAAGTTCTCTGGTATCCTTGTTGTTTCTCGAGTAGTTCTCCTTAAATCAATTTTCCCTTTAATTGACCCTTCAGCGTGATCCATCAGAGGAGATGGAAATCACATTAGTACTACCTTGTTGTTCTGCTAGTTGTCCTCTCGCTCTGTTGTCCACCTTAGCACACTACCAGTCTTAGTCGTTGTGCCAATCTACACATCACCGATGGAAGCTGATGCTTGTATCATAGGAGTCACATGAGTTACTAAAGGTGGCTGTTGCATCTGCATCTCTGTGCTACTAGTCTCACCCTCTTCACTAATCTTCGGAGGGAGACATTGGTCAAGTTCTTCAAACAAGACAATGAGATCAGTTTTCTCACCATAAGGGTTCCGATGCATGGAGGTAACATCCATGCTCACAAATGTCCACCTCTCAGAGATTAAAAAATGTCCACCTCTTAGACGAACTCCAACATTTGTAATCTCTTTGTCCTGAAGAATATCCAATAAAGATACGCTTGACCGCCCGAGGATCCAGTTTGTTGATTGATGGCCTATGAACACGAACAAAACAAGTGCAAACGAACACATTGGGGGGGGGACTTGGTATTTAGTTTCTCTGAAAACAAACTCACCCAGTGATTTAATACCTATCACTTGGAATGGCGTGCAGTTGATCAAGAAGGTGGCCATCATGATAATTTCACTCCATATGAACTCGAGCACATTCATGGTGAATATCAATGCTTGGGCCAACTCTAGCATGTGGCAATTTTTCCTCCCAGCCACCCCATCCCGAAGAGGTGTATCTGGAGAAGATGTTTGATGCAGGATGCCCTTCTCCGACATGAAGGCACCAATGGCCTTGTTAACATACTCAGTGCCATTGTTGGATCTGAGTTCTTGAATTTTCACATTAAATTGAGTCTAAGAAAGTGCATACAAAACTTTGAAACACTGAAACACTTTATTTTTATATGTTTCAGAAGATAGACCCAAGTCATCCGAGAATGACAATAAATGAATGTAATGAACTACTTCATATCACTAACAAATAACGATGGACATGTTCGTACATCAGAGTGGATTAACACAAAAGGAGATGTGCTCCTGATCCCCTTACTCACTCAGACACATCACAGTTCAGCTTGTTGTTGTCCACACCACTCTTGACATCTGGGAAATACTTGATACATTTTTCAAAAGACTCATGTCCCATCCTACAATGATGGATTAGGGTCCTAGTCTCTTATCTTCAGTAACTATAGCTAGCATGTGCATTCACTAGTGGTACGTCATGCTATAGTCCATGTACCACATCGCCCTATGCGTCAATCTACTCCCAAGACTCCTGCCCGTCCACCTCTCCTGGATCAAGAACAAAACCTTGTCAAGAATTATTTGACAATAAATTTAGTCAACCAACGCACTCAAGGACACTAAGTTCACGGGAAAAGCCGGCACATCCAACACTGAGGATAAGTCAACACTTGGTGTGCAGTTGACTGCCAACACCTGTGATGGGTTGGGATGTGCCATCCACTGTGTGAATGGGTTTCTAATGTGTGAGAGAGTCTGGAACAGATGATTTAAACTCATTAAAGTCTCCAGCAACATGTTGTAATGCTCCAGAATCAAGGACACATTCAGAATTTATTTATGGCCTGTTATAGATGCATGTTCAGTGTCACCCTCATTTGCAAAGACAAAGTAGGCATAACTGGTAGCAGCCTCCTGTCCTCCCGCTAATTGCTTCCCTTCAGCTAAAGAAGCTGCATTTGCCCTAGGAGCATGCCAAGAATCACCACTCCCATTCCGACGCCCTTCTACACTAAAGAGTGTGCTGACGTAAGTTCTGAGCGACTCAAAGTCATTCTTCACATGACATCTCATTTACATACCATTCATGCCCACTGCAAATTTCCCCATCTCCTCAACTTTCACTGACATGACTTGTAATATTCCTCCTGATATCTTCCAACCCAATGCTCACCTTTTCTGTCTCATTTGCAATTCCAGATTTAGCCATAATCACTCTCTTGATAAGAGACTCCATCTCGTCTTCTCCTAGTTGTGCCACCTCCAATGCTGCCTCCTTCCTCTGTGATCAGTAGCCACAACAACACAACCACACTACCGCAAAGGTCACTCACTTCAAATACATATTTATCATTTTCAAATTTTTTTGTGGAGTGTTTTTTGTAATATATATATCTATAATATTTTATTTTCTAAGTACAAAAAACTTCGAAATAAAGTAAAACACAAAAACAGAAAATGGCAAAAACAAACAGAAAAATGAGGCGGTGGCCTGTCACGCGCGTAGGCCAGTCCATCTCGCTCGCCCGTTTAGCGAGCTGGATTGTGGACTTGCTGGAGGCGAGATATAGCGGCGCCCCACACCTTCCCCTTCGATATTATATAAATGGGCCAGCCCAACTAAGACGAGCGAGAAGTTCCCTTCGCAACCGGTTTTGCGAAGCTTCCTAGGCCGGTTTTGGGCTTCCAGCTGATTTTTTTGGTTTTGTAGACTGGTTTCTGTTGGGTTTATCCTTCTTTTTTGTTTCTTTTTTTTCATATGTGAGAACCTTTTCAAATTCATGAACTTCTCACAAAAATTTGTGAACCTTTTCAAGTTGATGATTTTTTTAATTCATCAACTCTTATCATTTTTGTGAACTTTTTCAAATTATGGACTTTTCCCAGTCATGAACTTTTTGTGATTTTTTTTTCAAAATTTTGTCAGTGTCTTAAAATTTACGAAATTCTTTCATCTTTTGTGACACTTTTTTGAATTCACAATTTATTCGAATACATGAACTTTTTCTAATTCATGTAATTTTTCAAAATTTGGGAACATTTCCAAATTTTGTGAACTTTTTTAAATTGCAATTTGTTTTCAAATTCATTGACATTTTTATATTGACGAACATTTTTAAATGTGTGATTTTTTTCTCAAATTCATGAAACTTTTCAAATTTGTGTTTTTTAAAAATCATGGACTCTTTCGCATTTTATGCTTTTTGAATGGGTTCAAAATTTTTATTTTTCTTTGGAATTTTATGATTCTTTCAGGTTCATGTTTTTTTGAAAAATTCAACAGTTAACTAGTAACTAGTCCCGGTCAACTAGGTCCACTTATCAAATGTTGACCGATCAACTTTTTTTTGAGCGTATGTTGACCGATAAACTGATGGAACGAACAAGCTGTTCAAAAAAAAAGAAAAAATTGAGCGAACAAAAGGGACATCGGTTTGTTTGGTCTGGCCTATGCGAGAGAGGCGCACGAGTGCCAAGTAGCTTTACCAGTGCTGAATGTGCCAATTAGGAGGTATCGGTGGTTTCTGACTTAAATGCGAGATACTATGTGGTGAATTACTGAATTGACAATACTAATTCGCATGTGGGATTACACGGAGCAACTGATATAAGTCTGTTTATCTTTGCTCGCTAGAATGCCGCATACCTAATTTTACTAGGTTGCACCAGTTATAACAACTAAGGAGATGTGTTGTTTTTCCCAGCATTACTGCACCAAGAATACCACCAAGTGCTCTGAAAGGAGAGTCTGATTATATTGTATCAGGTAGATTCTTTTCACTATATTATGTTATGCATTTCATTAGCTGTTCAACATGTGGATTTACAACTTATGACAAACTCAGCTCTGAACCATGTTGACATCCTGCATAAAAAACCACTGAAAAAAAAATCTTGATTTGGAACAATTGTTATTTGACACAACAACTGCTGTCTTTATCTTGCATCAAGAAAGAAGTTTGTAATAAGAAAAATAAAATAATGACAACTCTATATGTAAAATTTGTAGGGGATACTGAGGTCATAAACGCAATTTTCACACTTTAGACGCGAAGATCCAAAAAGGCTAAAAATGAGCTATCACTTGCTATTTCCTTATTTAGATCACGGCTTTCATGGTTTGTGGTGGGACCGCACAAAGCTATAACGCAATATCACAAGCTATTTAGAACCTTGTTGGAGTCAAATATACAGGGGGGCATTTCTTCCTTTTTGGAATCTAATACTAGCATAAAGTAGCTATGCAATATGTATGTTCACGAGTTCACGAATCTAATAGTTTGTATGAGTTCACTAGTTCGCTAAGCAAACTATATATATGCCTCTTTTGGTGCCAACTTGCCAAGTACAATTGTTGGTACTTCTACAGAGATCAAATAGACCTTTTTCTGTTTTCGATTCTGTCTCTTTATTGCAGCTAAGTTGATGCAATTCATTGTTGCGGGGAATCTTCTTGGCTTTCCTGCCATAACTGTTCCTGTAAGTGGTGTCACAACTTATAATGAATATTTATTGTATCTTGTAGTTAACGTTATGAGATTGTGCATGGAATAGTAACTTTAGTATTATTGATTTACATTCAGAAACATGGTGTTATTTCCAACATAATGAAAGGTTTACAGATAATTATAGGAAAATATTCAGAATTTTGGTAGTATAATGTAGCTAAAAAACACACAAGGAAAGTATTATTTGCTAATATGTGCTGCTACTCTTGTCCTGTACTCAGGTTGGTCATGACAAGCAAGGCCTTCCTATCGGCTTGCAACTGATAGGCCGTCCATGGGGTGAGGCTAGCTTACTGAGGGTGGCTTCGGCAGTAGAGGTACTGTTCACATTCATCATAACTGTTCCGTATTTTTGATTTGTCACCTGAGAATGCACTCTTATTCGATAGGAGTCTATGTGCCTTTTAAACCTGCATGAACCCGAGCGAATCTATGAACATTTGCCAGTTTTCTCAGGCGTTGGGAAAACTTTATTTACTAAGAAAAAGGGTTTTCCCCCACTTTGTATTAAAAAGCAACCACTGATACATCCAACAATAGGTGTTGGAGCCGCAACACAAACAAGCCCATAGAAAAACAAAGAAGAAAGAAAGAGAAATAAATGCCAACAACGGCAGATCAATGGAACGAAGATGACTGGCGATCGCTGCACCCTCCGGAGAAGTACCACCATGATCCCAACACTCTGAAGCGCCACGTACCAAGCAACACCTTCAAGAAGGAGGCGGCGACGACGCCACTTTTGCCCGGTCTAGTCCTAGGGTTTCCCCCGGTACGCGGGGGGCAGTGGGGGAAAGGGGTGTACCCGACGCCCTTCAGGAAGGTCCGGCGGCACCCACAGGCGTCACCGCATCGGGTCCGGACGAGCCGCCAGAGATTTCTCCCAACCCAAACTCCCACCACCACCCCAGACGAATCATCGTGCACCGTCCATCACGCCGTCCACCAACATGTGCCACCACGGTCACCGAATCAACTTCGCCGTCTCCCAGAGGTCACCGACACGAGACCTGGAGGGCGGGAGAAGAGATAGTGGCCTCGGGGGCATCCGCAACATCGCCGACGTGAGGGGACAACCACCACCGCGGAGCCCACCGGACGCACGGACAAGGGGCTTACCAGACGCCGAGGCCCGACCGGACCCAAAAGAGTTCGGACAGCCCCTACCGTCACGCTGCAGCTCGCCGGCCGACGAAGCCGCCACCACCCGCAGACCACTGCCTCTTCGCCACCAACAAGGGAGCAGCGTCGCCGCGCACCGAGTCATCGGCCCTCCTTAGCCTAGATGGAGTCCGAAAGGGCCCAGATCTGGGCCGCACGGGCGCCGCCAGCCACCAGCACCACCACGCCGCCCCGCGGCCAATGACCGCGCCACCACACCTAGGACCACGAGGCTCGCCGGACTCCCGCCGCCGAGCCACACCGCAGCCGGCCGAGATGCATCGCCTGCATTGGGAGGCCCCCGCGCCCCCCATGAGCGAGCGGGGAAGGGACTGCCCGCCGGCGCCGGCGCCGCGCGGGCAAGGCCAAACGGACCCAGCCGCAGGAGGGGAAGTGGGGGCCGGAGGGGAAGAGCCGCAGGAGCCCGCCCGTCGCCCGCGGGGTGGCGAGCAGGCGGACGGGGACGCGGGGGAGGAGGAGAGGGGGGAGGAGAGGGAGGCGGAGCGCGCGAGGCTGGCGGCAGGATGGGGCGGGGGCAGCCAGCGGCGGTGGCAACGGGCCGGGGCGGAACCCTAGTCGCGGGAGCCCGCTCCCCTCTTGGTAGCCGTCAAACTTTATTTACACTACTATGCTGTCTAGGGGCATTTTTAATGGGAAGAGACGCTAATGCAGATAATTTATGAAACATGGTAAATTTAGCATGTCCACGGAATCTGAAAAGCAGTATTCAGTAGCATCATCATTACGAGTGCGAACATTATTTTCATCAAATATTTTGTACTGCCTTTGTCTACTTCTGAACCCTCGTAAATTGAGAACATTACCCCTGCTTTCAGGAGCTCTGCCTGAAGAGAAGGAATCGTCCGTCCACATTCTACGACATCCTAAAGACCTGAAGCATCATCAGTATGTAATATCAATAGTATGTAAGAGGTTTGTCATTTGTCATTTGTGAGGACTCAGGATATAGACGGCAAACCCTTGTCCAGGTTATGTAAACTGAGAAAATAATTCTACCAGAGATATTGCAGCAACAAATAATTAAGCTAATTAAGCGAGGTACTCCCTCCTTAAAGAAATGTAAGAGCGTTGCGATATCGTTTGGATGCTTGGGATATCTCTGCTGGTTTGCTTGTTCTTTCGGATTGCGATTCATCTGCTTGTAATGTTCTTGTTCTGGCTCGTCTCTGTCAGTCGAACAGAGGAAGAGATGTAACTGGGATATCCATTACTGACAAATGATAATCTCTGGTCAAAGTGAGAGCTAGTACGTTGTTGGATTTGGTGAGAGCACAACACACAACTAGGAGCCGCCCCCGTCCCCACGCTGCTCCCGCGAGGCGGTCGGGGGCCAACCTTAAACCGGTGCCGGCCTTCGCTCCCCCCTTCCTCCTCTTCCCTCGCTGCCGCCTGAAGGCACGGCGGGCAAAGCCCAGCCGTCGCCGCCGGCGGGGCCTCAGAGTCCTCCCGCTCGGTAGCAGCGGCGCTTCGGGGAGGTGGCAGCGGTGCCTCCGGGTCTTGTTGTTGCCAGGGGTGGTGACGACGATCTGGCACCAGTTTGAGAAATGGCACGGCGGTTGCGGCATTGCCGGCAGCTGCCGGTGGCCTCCCCCTACCCTATTCGGCCAGCAGGGCCCATACTTACCCAAAGGGCCTGCTTTTCCAGCGATAGCGTTAGTGGACCATGTTGAGGGGGTTGGGGTGGTCTTGGATGCCGGGGCAGCGGCTCTTGTGGTTGGAGCGCGGGTCTCGTGGGCGGAGCTTGTTGCTCAGGTGCTGCCCGGTGGCCATGGCCATGTGGGCGGCGTGGCGGCCGGGGTGTGACGTTCGGTAGCGGTGGTGCAGCGTACATACCAATCCCGGGGGCAATGTGTGTGGGTGAAGGAAATATGCCCTAGAGGCAATAATAAAGTTATTATTTATTTCCTTATTGCACGATAAATGTTTATTATTCATGCTAGAATTGTATTAACCGGAAACTTAGTACATGTGTGGATACATAGACAAACAGAGTGTCACTAGTATGCCTCTACTTGACTAGCTCGTTGAATCAAAGATGGTTAAGTTTCCCAGCCATAGACATAAGTTGTCATTTGATTAACGGGATCACATCATTAGAGAATGATGTGATTGACTTGACCCATTCCGTTAGCTTAGCACTTGATCGTTTAGAATGTTGCTATTGCTTTCTTCATGACTTATACATGTTCCTATGACTATGAGATTATGCAACTCCCGAATACCGGAGGAACACTTTGTGTGCTACCGAACGTCACAACGTAACTGGGTGATTATAAAGGTGCTCTACAGGTGGTTCCGATGGTACTTGTTGAGTTGGCATAGATCAAGATTATGATTTGTCACTCCGATTGTCGAAGAGGTATCTCTGGGCCCTCTCGGTAATGCACGTCACTATAAGCCTTGCAAGCAATGTAACTAATGAGTTAGTTGCGGGATGATGCATTACGAAACGAGTAAAGAGACTTGCCGGTAACGAGATTGAACTAGGTATTGAGATACCGACGATCGAATCTAGGGCAAGTAACATACCGATGACAAAAGGAACAATGTATGTTGTTATGCGGTTTGACCGATAAAGATCTTCGTAGAATATGTGGGAGCCAATATGAGCATCCAGGTTCCGCTATTGGTTATTGACCGGAGACGTGTCTCGGTCATGTCTACATAGTTCTCGAACCCGTATGGTCCGCACGCTTAAAGTTCTGTGACGATCGGTATTATGAGTTTATGTGATTTGATGTACCGAAGGTAGTTCAGAGTCCCGGATGAGATTGGGGACATGACGAGGAGTCTCGAAATGGTCGAGACGTAAATAACGATATATTGGACGACTATATTCGGACATCGGAAAGGTTCCGAGTGATTTGGGTATTTTTCGGGGTAGCGGGGAGTTACGGGAATACGAGGAAGAAGTATGGGGCTCATGGGCCAAGTGGTGGAAGAGAGGAAGCAGGGCGCGCGCCCCCGCTAGCCCAAACCGAATTGGACTAGGGGGCCGGCCCCCCTTTCCTCCTTTTCCTCCCTCTCCTTCCTTCTCCCTCTCCTCCTTCCTTTCCTCCTCCTAGTAGGAGTAGGAAAGGGGAGTCCTATTCTTACTAGGAGGAGGACTCCTCCTCCTGGCGCGCCCTACAGGGGCTGGTCGGCCTTCCCCCTTGCTCCTTTATATACGGGGGCAGGGGGCATCCCATAGACACACAAGTTGATCATTGATCTCTCCCAGCCGCGTGTGGTGCCCCCCTCCATCATAATCCACCTCGGTCATATCGTAGCGGTGCTTAGGCGAAGCCCTGCGATGGTAGCTTCATCAACATCGTCATCACGCCGTCGTGCTGACGAAACTCTCCTTCGAGCTCTACTGGATCGTGAGTTTACGGGAAGTCACCGAGCTGAACGTGTGCTGAACACGGAGGTGCGTACGTTCGGTACTGAGGATCGGTCGATCGTGAAGACGTACGACTACATCAACCGCGTTGTCATAACGCTTCTGCTCTTGGTCTACGAGGGTACTTGGACGACACTCTCCCCTCTCGTTGCTATGCATCACCATGATCTTGCGTGTGCGTAGGAATTTTTTTGAAATTACTATGTTCCCCAACAGTGGCATCCGAGCCAGGTTTATGCGTAGATGTTATATGCACGAGTAGAACACAAGTGAGTTGTGGGCGATACAAGTCATACTGCTTACCAGCATGTCATACTTTGGTTCGGCGGTATTGTTTGATGAAGCGGCCCGGACCGACATTATGCGTACGCTTACGCGAGACTGGTTCTACCGACGTGCTTTGCACACAGGTGGCTGGCGGATGTTAGTTTCCCCAACTTTAGTTGAATCGAGTGTGGCTACGCCCGGTCCTTGAGAAGGTTAAAATAACACTAACTTGACGAACTATCATTGTGGTTTTGATGTGTAGATAAGAACGGTTCTTGCTCAGCCCGTAGCAGCCACGTAAAACTTGCCACAACAAACTAGAGGATGTCTAACTTATTTTTGCAGGGCATGTTATGATGTGATATGGTCAAGACATGATGCTAAATTTTATTGTATGAGATGATCATATTTTGTAACGGAGTTATTGGCAACTGGCAGGAGCCATATGGTTGTCGCTTTATTATATGCAATGCAATCGCCCTATAATTGCTTTACTTTATCACTAAGCGGTAGCGATAGTAGTAGAAGCAATAGGTGGCGAGACGACAACGATGCTACGATGAAGATCAAGGTGTCGTGCCGGTGACGATGGTGATCATGACGGTGCTTCGGAGATGGAGATCACAAGCACAAGATGATGATGGCCATATCATATCACTTATATTGATTGCATGTGATGTTTATCTTTTATGCATCTTATTTTGCTTAGTTCAACGGTAGCATTATAAGATGATCTCTCACTAAATTTCAAGGTACAAGTGTTCTCCCTTAGTATGCATCGTTGCGAAAGTTCGTCGCGCCGAGACACCACATGATGATCGAGTGTGATAAGCTCTACGTTCACATACAACGTGTGTAAGCCAGTTTTGCACACGCAGAAATATTCGGGTTAAACTTGACGAGCATAGCATATGCAGATATGGCCTCAGAACACTGGAGACCGAAAGGTCGAGCGTGAATCATATAGAAGATATGATCAACATAGTGATGTTCACCATTGAAAACTGCTCCATCTCACGTGATGACTGGACATGGTTTAGTTGATATGGATCACGTGATCACTTAGATGATTAGAGGGATGTCTATCTAAGTGGGAGTTCTTAAGTAATATGATTAATTGAACTTTAATTTATCATGAACTTAGTCCTGGTAGTATTAGCATATCTATGTTGTAGATCAATAGCTCGCGTTTAGCTCCCATGTTTTATTTGATATGTTCCTAGAGAAAACTAAGTTGAAAGATTTTAGTAGCAATGATGCGGATTGGATCCATGATCTGATGATTATCCTCATTGCTGCACAGAAGAATTATGTCCTTGATGCACCGCTAGGTGACAGACCGATTGCAGGAGCAAATGCAGACGTTATGAACATTTGGCAAGCTCGACATGATGACTACTTGATAGTTTAGTGCACCATGCTTTATGGCTTAGAATCGGGGCTTCAAAGACGTTTTTGAAACGTCATGGAGCATATAAGATGTTCCAAGAGTTGAAATTAGTATTTCAGACTCATGCCCGTGTCGAGAGGTATGAGACCTCTGACAGTACTTTGCCTAAAAGATGGAGGAGAATAGCTCAACCAGTGAGCATGTGCTCAGATTGTCTGGGTACTATAATCACTTGAATCAAGTGGGAGTTAATCTTCCAGATAAGATAGTGATTGACAGAGTTCTCTAGTCACTATCACCAAGTTACTAGAACTTGGTGATGAACTATAATATTCATGGGATAACGGAAACAATTCCCAAGCTCTTCGTGATGCAGAAATCAACGAAGGTAGAAATCAAGAAAAGCATCAAGTGTTGATGGTTGACAAGACCACTAGTTTCAAGAAAAGGGCAAAGGGAAGAAGGGAAACTTCAAGAAGAACGGCAAGCAAGTTGCGGTATGAGTAAAGAAGCCCAAGTCTGGACCTAAGCCTGAGACTAAGTGCTTCTACTGCAAAGGGACTGGTCACTGGAAGCAGAACTGCCCCAAGTATTTGGCGGATAAGAAGGATGGCAAAGTGAACAAAGGTATATTTGATATACATGTTATTGATGTGTACTTTACTAGTGTTTATAGCAACCCCTCAGTATTTGATACTAGTTCAGTTGCTAAGATTAGTAACTTGAATCAGGAGTTGCAGAATGAACAGAGACTAGTTAAGGGTGAAGTGATGATGTGTGTTGGAAGTGGTTCCAAGATTGATATGATCATCATCGCACACTCCCTATACTTTCGG